AGGATAGAGCACGGTTAAGGCTCTTGTACATAGGGCTGCTACGAGACGCAAGCGATTTGATGACACATAACAACAACTGATAATTTTATTCACTCTGATATGTGTGATCTCTCTTTTGATGCTCTTTTAAATAACTTACAGGTCACCCATACATCCGCCGACGAGTGTCTGCTTATGTCCATACTACAGTGATTTCTTGTTGTCACAGTGACCCTATGAACAACAGATCTGATCCCTGGCCTGTCCTGAGCCACCCTCATGTTCTCCTATATGCTTGAGCCTATTTGTTAGAGTCACTGTGTCAACCCATTTTGTTGAGGGTCTGTCTTCCTCTCTTTCACTGACTCTCCACCTTTCAGCATGATGTCTTTCCCAATTTGATCGATTTGAATTGTTGGAGTGACCTGTATATTCTGGGTAGGCTATTCTTTGGAGAGGGATATCATACTTGTAAGGTTAGCACAACGAAGACCCTCAGTGAGATGAGCTGACACACTGCCTGCAGCAATGAGCTCAAGGGTATAAGGATGGCACAGGATAGGATGGGGTTCAGATTTGTTGTTCATAAGGTCACTATGAGTCATATGCAACTCAATGGTACCTAACAACAGCAACAACCCCTTATCAGATAGGTTCTTACATATTTTCTCCCATGCTGTAGGTTACCTTTCACATTGTTGAAGCACTGAAATTTTTCATTCTGATAAAGCTCAATTTATCTCGCCTTTTCTTGGAACTGAACTTTGTATAACCAAGTACTCCTATAATGCAGGTATCTTTTTAAAGACATAAGTGGTAATTATACACGTGGACAGCTAATCATCTAATGGAATACAAAGGTATCAAATCTACTCCAACTGTGGAAACAGACAGTGAAAACCTAAGTAACCAGCAGTTGGAACAAGGCCAGCGATTCAGTATGGTACAGACTATTAAGTGCTCAAACTACATTCAAACTGAAGCTAAAGAAAAGGAAAATAAGTTCACAAGGGCAAAATTACAACTATGCGCACATCCCACCTGAATTCAGAAACCATCTGAAGAAGAGATTTGAAACAATGAGCAAGTAATGACTAAAGAAGAGAATGGCTGTGGATGACACCAAGAACACCTACATAAAGGAAGGAAAAGGTCATCGAAAAGACAAAAATAAATGCCCCAAGAGACTCTGAAAGTTTTGCTAGAAGCTAAAATTAAGGAATGATGAAAACACTGAACAAAGGGTAGCTCACAAAAACAAAGCATTATAGTGAAATACGCAAAGTGTGAAGTTAAAATATATAAGGATAGAACAAATGGGGTGTCCTTTCTGAAGCTGAAAGAAATGAGGAGCAAATGGAAGACTCAGGTTGCAATACTGTTCTTACGTGTCACTGCATTGGAGCCAAATCATAGCTAATTTTCCGGAGGCTGTAAATCCCACAGGAGTAGACTGCCCATCTTTCTTCTGTGGAGCAACTGATGGATGTGAACTGCCTGCCTTTTGGTTGGTAGCACAACCCCTTACCTCTAAGCCACCAAAGCTCCCAAGATCACTGCATGTCCTTTTATTTCATTCTCATGTATTGCTGTGATGATGTGCCATCAAGTCAGAATGGACTCTTAGCCTGACCCTCCAGTGGCTTTTCAGAGGCTTTAAGTCACATGAATAGACACTGACCATCTTTTATCCATGAACAGCTGGGGGATTCAAACTATGTGCTTTTGGGTAGGCAGTGCCACTATGGCCTCAGAGTTCCCATCTCAGGTATTAGTTATCTGAAGGAAAAGTCATATAACAAACTCTCCCAACTGTTTATCTGGAAATGTCTCCATTTTTGAATTTTTGACCTCATTATTGAAGGTCTACTTTGCTGGATATAGAATTATGGATTTCCCCCCCCCCCTTAAGACTTGAAGTATTATACCATCTTACTACTTTGTAATCCCCATAATTTCTAAAGAAACATCAGTACTTAATCTTATTCATATACTTTATACTTAACTTGGGAAATCAGATTTCCCCTTTCCCAGGGTTTGCTGGGCTATAAGTGCGCTTGTTTTGTTTTGAATGCACTATTGTCTGTTTGATGACATCCATCATTTTGCAAAGCTTGTCATGCTGAGTCCATGTGGATACAGGGATGTCTCAGTTGGTTCAATTGTGCTCAATAAGTGTTTTGACAGGTGTTTTCTTGGATGGTAGGAGAAAACAAAAACCTATTTTGTTAGTTTGCAGACTGGCTTTCTGGCAAGACTCTCCCTCAACACTAAGCCAGGCCTGCACCAAGCCTCAGGATTAGCATGTGAAAACAGAGGGTCTTCGTAAACGACTTCTGAGCATGTGTCTTGCCCTGGGCATGAACATGGCTTTGAAGCCACCCTCCCATCCCCACTTTAATCTCTGAAAGAAGCTCTCTCCTACATCTTTTCCTCTTGAGACTGAAGCAGCTACTGCTGATTCTTGTCATCCTTGAGTCTGATATGAGCTGCTGTTAAGCAAAACCAAAACCAAAACCAAAACCAAACAGCTGACCTTTTGGTGAAGAGCACCACATGAACATGTAAAGGCCTATGCTACCAGAGCTCCTTATATGACACGCACCTTGCTTCAGTTCTCCAGGTAGAAAACCAAATCAGGTTAGAGCAGATGAACACAATAATTTAGACCAGGTTCTCTCTCTAGGAGTGTGAGCTGCTGTTGCCACTTTGATTCAAGAAGGGGACGAGGGGCAGAGGAGTAGAAACCCAAAAGCTTCCTACTGCTTATTTTCACCTGTTCAGTGTTCACGTGGCTGCTGTAACCCTATGGCTACTTTCCAGAGTGCTGGCCATGCTGGTTCTGTCTGTTTCTGGTTTTGTTTTGATTTTCCCTTTAAAAAATTTCATCTAACAACAAGAAGAAGCTGATAAAGAGAGCGTGATCTCATCTCCCTGAAATAAAAATCATGGGTCTTAGCCAGCATAATTCAGCAGGCGCTCTGATGGCTTAGTGGTAACTGCACTGCCAACTCAAAGGCAATGGTTTGAATCTATTAGATGCTATGTGGGAGATGACAGATGGACAATATCTTATCATGCAATTTATTACCTCAGAAAATGAACTGGCACGTCAGCTATTGGCCAATTCAAACTCGACAGTACTTAGCTCAATCAAGCAAAGGGCATTCTAATCCAGCTACAGGTGATAATCTAAAGAGGGTGAATATTACGACCTAAAATGGGAGGGACTGGAGAGCATTATGCTAAGTGAACTAAATCAGTCTCATAAAAACAAATATTGTATAAGACCATTATTGTAGAACAAGTACGAGGATCTAAGGCAGGGGGAGTTTGATGGGTAGAGGGAAGAGTGGGTAAAGGAAAGGGGAAAGATTTGATGTGAAAAACAATGTATATGAACTTTATGAATTTTGTATGTAAACTGGTATAAATTTTTTTAAAGAGGGAAAAAAGAATAGAAAATAAAAAATAAATAAAGAGGAAAAAAATTTCATTTCCATATTTTTGTGGGGTGAAAACAGAGGAATGCAACTTTTCAGTCTTGTCCTCTTGCTCTAAAACCCAAATTAATCTTGTAGCTGTGTTTTACCTTTTAGCAGGGTCTTTTACAGAACAAAAGGTCTATATCTTGAGGAAAGCTTCTTTGTTCATTTTCCCATTTATGTACAATGATTTTTATTGCAAATTTGCCAAGCATGATTCTGAAGACTTCTCTACCCCACAATTTTATTTAAAAAATTATTATTTTTCACATTCAAGACTATAATCTACCTTGAGTTACCTACCATATTTTTAAGCAAACAATGTACATACAGTTTTTGCAAACAAACAAAAAATGGCTTCTTTCTTCTTGTGTGTACTATGTTTGTATTTACTTTATTTACAAGAGTGTGTTTTAGGCAAAAAAATATAATAATCATATCGGTGAAGAATACTGAGGATGTGATGGACTGCCAAGAGAACAAAAAAATCTGTCTTGAGAGAAGTGCAGCCAATATGGTCCTCCGAAGTAAAGACAGTTAAAGTTTCACACACACACACACTTTGGACAACCCCCATCCCCCCCCAAGAGGGGCCTGTCCCTGGAAAAGGACATCATGCTTAGTATCGTAGTGGGTCAACCTCCAAGAGTGGGTCAGCCATATTAGATCTTCCTCCAAGAGAAGATCCTCAAGGCGATGGGGTACCCAGTGACTGCAATAAGGGGCTCTGTACAGTAGAGACTGTATATACAGTGAGGCTAGTTCAGGAATGAGTATGGATAGAGGGTTATGATGGGTTGGAGCTGACTCCTAGCATCTAACAACAGCAACAAAAATAACAATAGTTAATGGAAAGGACTCCTGGTGGCACAAGAGCATTATGAAAAGCATTCAGTCACTAGAAGAAAGGCTGGTGGTTCAAATGCACTAGCTGCTGGATGGGAGAATGATGTGGCCCCACACATATTAAACCGTAGAAATCCCTATGGGGCAGTTCTACTCTGTACAGTGGGGACACTATAATAGATTCAACAAGTTAACACTTAAAGCAATGGCTATGGAAGCAGGATGCTTCATCTTTATCCTGTGAAGTGGCTGTCAGATTAGAGCTATCAATCTTCTGTTAGCAGTGTGGTTCTTAATCCAAGGTGCTACCAGGTCTGCCATTTAAACGGAAGTAGATAAAAATAGCTTTAAATGATTTGGAAATATTTTGAGATAACAAACATTTGAGGATTGCTAGAAAAAGGTAAAAAATAGCTACAAATATTTATTGTTTCTAGAACGATTTAAAATTTAGTGTTGCCGCCAATAAAACAAAAGAAAAGTTTTTAGGGGAAATACAAAGATGTATCAAAGAGTAGTGTATATGTTTTCTGAGGCATTTATTTCAAAGGGAAGAAATTCAAGTATCCCTTTTTACTTGATAATATTCAAAGCTATGAGCTATAAAAGAAATGCCAATAAGTAAATTTATACCAATAAATAAAGCATTTTGACTGAGTGTAAAAGAGGACAAACAAAAGGGTGGTTTACCTCTTCTACATTGGAGGCAGTCTTGGCTGAAGTTTCCATGAAGATAAGTCCATGCTCTCGTGCAAAAGCTTCACCTTCTTCTTTTTTTACCTCTCTTCTTGATTCTAAATCACTTCACCAGGACAGAAAAGAGTCATTTTATTAATCAACATGATACAAACAGAGGTACCTGTAAAAAGCGCACCATGGGATTGAAAGTTGCACTGATCATTCTTTTAACAAATGACAATTTTTTTAATTGTGATAAAATACACATATGAGCTGGTTCTAATGCAATAGTACCTAACATCACGTAACGCTATATTTCCATCTAAAATATTTTACGTGTCCAATTCAGCATTATTAGACTATCCTTATTTGTTTTGAAACAGTCAATTAATTTTTAGCACATAATAATTAACCGCATTATTCTGGGTATTATAAAGGTTAAAGTGTTTAAATAGCACATGATCTACTTTATTTTTAAATTGTAAATTGAGTAAAAATTTACAAGGCATTAGTTTTCTCTGAATAATTCATACACATCTTATAATTAATTATAACATTAACTATAAATGCCTATACTCTAATGGCACTTTTCCTACTTTCCATCTAAAATTCTCATTTCCATTTATCTTGGTATCCTACCCCTTGTTTTCTTCAGGGCTTTATTTATCCTTGGGCAAAGGACACCCTTCTGACCTTATGCAGTTGTGGGTTAGTCTAAGGATATAATCTCACAGGCCTGAAAGTTGAGTTACGGGGCGAGTTTGTATCCAGAGTGGAGAGTGACCAAGGGCCCTAGCATCTGGACTTCTTCTACAAGCTCTCCTGGACCAGCAGGCCTGGATCTTGCTATGGTTTCGAATTTCGTTCCAAAGTTTTTCACCTACTCTATCCAGGGTCTTCTATTGTTATCTCTTTGTAAACATGATCTACTTTCAATGAGTTAATTCAGTAGAAAAAGGATTCTGAGTTCTAGCATTAGAACATCTGAACTAAATCGAAACCAGGAAACTTGGAGGAAGCACCTAGTCTAACATCTTCCCCTCCCCCCTTTTGTGGTGTCTGAGTACACTGGGTTCCCAGAAGGGGAGTATTTTGTTCAAAACAATTTTTAAATAAGACAGCAAGACTAAGCCAGCTGCCTCATTCTTCAGCCAAAATGCCCAAGTTTCTATGAACGATTTAGAAAATCGCAGAATATGACTGAACTCTCAGAAGCACAGGCTGAGGCTCTGGCAGGACACAGTGGGGAGGAGGATCATCACTGGAGCCTGTGGGAAGGAAGGGTGGCCCAAGGCGGGGGGGAAGGGGGCTGAGAAGGGGCAAATCTACTGATCAGGAAAAGGATTTATAAGGTTTATAGTATGTAAGATAGCAGGACATTATTGGACATTGTTATTTTCGTAAACTGGAACTACTGTGAATGATTTCTATGAATATTTTGTGCCCTTCACTTTATACTTTAAAATGTTTTGCAGTTTATAGAATGTCATCTAAGCATTAAGTGGAGATACTAATGCTAATATATCACTTCTGAAATGCTGGCAACTTAGATATAAAATATTATGATGGAACAGCAAGGGTATGTCACATGCTGTTAATGTTTGTGACAATTCTGCAAAACGGCATAATGAAAACCAACATAAAAGTATTATCAGGAAAGGATAATTTATTCAACTGTGCTCTCAGGACCTCCCACATGTCAAACCCTTTCTTGGATCTGGGGATAAATTACTCATCAAAATCCTCAAAATGTCTAGCCTTGTGACACTGATGTTCTACTAGGAATAGAAACAAAAGCACTAACAGCAACAAAAAACTGGAAGACAAAGTAGAAGGGCTGTAATACAGGATTCTGGAAATCAGTCCCACTTTTGGCAATTACTTTTTAAGCTAATTTTTAACTGTATCTAATTTTCAATAAAACTCTTAACTTTCATAGCATTTTATGCTCATGTCCTATATTAAACAATCCCAAGTTTGAAATTACTTCTAGTTTTCCACTACTAGTATTTCTAGATGATAAAATCTTTCAGAGCAATAGGGTTAAACGATGAAAATGATTAATAGACTGGGCCCAGCAGTTTAATCATCATGATGGTTTTATCAGGAGCTCAGACTGAGAGTCACTCAAGTCATGTCCTTCAGCTTTCTCTGCATGGAATCACATTATTGTCTTGGACTTGGTATCCCCTCTGGACCTTATTTTAACTTGTTCTCACTGATGTGAACTGTGCACACCTCTCCGCTCCCCATGAGGCATACTAAATATAAGGCTCCTCCATGTAAGGCTCGTCTCCAAATCAAGGAAACAAGGAAAGTCTAGGATGACCACAGGAAGGAAGAGTGCGTGAAGCCACGGATCTGGGCTTCCAGCCTACAGTACTGTGAGAAGAGAAATTCCTGTTCTTTAAAACCACTTACCCACTTTGTGGTGCTTGAAGTATTAGGGAATAAAGACACTGTTCTTTTTAGTTATCTCTTTTCAATTTACATGAGTCACATCAAAATTACAGTTTTACCATTCTCAAGGGACTCATACAGTGGCTTTTTAAAATACTGAGTTTTGAGAACAGGAAGATGTTTGAAAAGGCAAGAGAAGTGCTGTAGCAGCTGTAGGGTGGCCAGTTCCCCATGGAATTATTACTGGATTACCCCTGGCATCCTCAAAGACGGGCAGGAGCACACTGTCATAACGAAAAAGAAGTCTCCGGAGCAACGTTCCTGGCCTTTTTCTCATAACTGCAGTTTTCCATTTTCTTAAAACTTCTCCATAAGTCCCTGTGACTGTCCTGTTCCCTGCATCAAAGTTTTCAAGATTATCATCTTAGGATCCCCAAAAACAGCTGCTGTTAACATTCTGAGCTCAAGTTTCTACTCTGAATTTAATTGGTCCAGTAAAAGCCTTGAGTAGGGGGACCTGCAAAAGGCACAGTTTTGATTGCATTTTGTTCTCTGGATCATACTAGTAAATTCAATACTCATCTCTGGTGCTGACTTTTTTCATAACATCATCATCATCAGCTTCTTCAAAGACTGATGGGAGAGTAGCTCTCTGAGTCAGCTGTCACGCAATGCATTTTGACACATACCTCCCCCTCCTTTTGAAGGCACTGCAATGAGACTGTCATTATAAACTACTGAGTTGGAAGCAACTGATCTTCTAAAGCAGACATTCAGAGGCAGTAAATTGCATGGGAGGAGACTGTCCACCTTTTTTCCTATGGAGCCATTAGAGGATTTAGTAGAAGTCTGGAATCATCCATTGATCACAGAGATATGAGGTTTTATTTACAAGAAATCTATGTACGCACGAACCCTAGTAGAAATATTCTGACTGACTGACCATCATAAAAACCTAGGAATGAAATTCCTACGTTGAATAGCAACTAGATGTTTACATGATTACCTAATTATTTTCCAAAGTTGGGGAGCTCTGGTGGCCTAGTGGCAAGAAGCTGCAACTACAATCCCAGAGGTGCACGGTTCGAATCCACCAGATGCTCTGCCGGGGAAGGAGGGACAATCTCCTCCTGTACCAGTCAGATCTGATTTGACGGTACACGCACACAA